GGGCGTGGGCGCAGCACCGAGGAAGGGAGGCACCGTGGGCGTCTCCGCTCTGAGCGGCCCCTGAGTCATTCCGTCTCCCCGAGTCCACGTGGCCGGCGTGTTTGTGCCGCTGGACGGCCCTGCCAGTGACTGCGGCGTGGCCTTCAGCGGAGCAGCCGGGAGACTGCGCGTTTCCACGCTGTGGGGTTGGTCCCAGAACCACAGGAAATAGGAGCAGTCCCTGGGACAGGCTGCTCGCCTCTCCCTCTCAGAGAACTGAGGCTGTGCGTGGGGTGAGGAGGGGGGAGGGGGAGTGGCTATGCATAGGCTGCCTGCCCCCGGGACAGCCTCATCCACATCTGGCAGGAAGGGCTGCCGGTACCAAAGTAAACAGGTGGCACTTTTAAGCAAAAAACGCTCTGGCCTTCTTTCTAACGCCTGCTTTTTGCAGAAGCTTGAAGCTAATTATCCGTGAAAATGTGGCTGCTCGCCTTGAGCTATGTTTTCTGCCCTGGCCAGGTCCACCTGATTGAATGTGGACGCTCCTCAGCCTTGGGGAGGGGCGCATCTGGAAGAAGGTCTTTGACAGTGACGAGTCCTTGATGGAGACTTCTCTCTGATATGTACAGTGACTTGTATTTACACAGCGTTTTTATGAGCATTTAAATGCATATGTTATTTAATTCCAAGAGGAAAAGTAACTACTGTGTCAGACCGTCATTTCTATTTAAGAAATAGGCTGTTATTTACCTTACGGTCGTAAGGAGCTTATTAAAAGAGGACTTTCCAGTGCTCATGTTCTAGTCACAGACATTCTGACCCTCTCATCTTCTCACCTGTCACAACAAACTGTGTTTTTTAAAAGTTATATTTTTATTGATTTCAGAGATGAAGGGGGAGAGAGAGAGAGAGAGAGAGAGAAACATGTATGATGAGAGAGAAGCCTTCATTGCCTGCCTCCTGCACACCCCACAGTGAGGATTGAGCCCACAACCCAGGCGTGTGCCCTGACTGGGAATTGAACTGTGACCTCTTGGTTCCTAGGTCAACACTCAACCACTGAGCCATCCTGGCTGGGCAGATCAAACTGTGTTTTGACAACAGCATTCAGAGGCCAAATGCAAAGAATGTTAATGTCTACGCTTCTTTAAAAGATTTTTTTGGTATAGTACAATATTGTATGGCAGTGAGAATCATTATATATTTCAACTTATGAACCATGATGTAGCTGGATCAAATGTAAGTTCTGATGCAGGCTCAGATGTGTTCCAAGATGCCTTAAGGAGACTGGTCTGTAAGGGGGCCTGGAGGCCTGCTGTGAGAACATATTTCTAAAGATCTGAAGAACAGAGCTGGATGGTGACAGAAGCAAGTTGCCAGGAAATCTGTGGACTGGAAGGACTGTCCAGGCTTCACCATGCTGATGGGAAGATAAGGGGTGCAGCCACCGACTTCGGTTTCTTTTATCTCTCTGCCAGTGGGAACAATTACAGCCTTTCAGCTACACATTTTTCCACCCGAGAAGCAAGATCAGAGGCTTAAGAAGATTATTTATATTTGAGGGTTCCTTAGTCCCAGCCTACTTTAAATCCATTACCACTGCCCCAGGGCCTTTGCACTAGCTGTTCTCTGCCTCGACCATGCCATCACCAGCTTTATGTTTGCTCCTTCTCTTCATTCAGGCCTCAGTTTAAATGTGAACACCCAGAGAAAACTTCTCAATAAACTCTATAAAAAATTCTATAATAACTCTCTCCATTGCATTCTAGCCCCTTACTCTTCTATTTTGCCTCATCTGAAATTATACTGTGTGTTTGTTTACTATCTGGTTTTCCCAGTAAAACGTAAACTCCATGCGGGTGAAGATTCACTGGCTCACAACTTCTTTAGTTCCCCCCTGTTGCCTGGCACATGGAAGGGGCTGAATAGGTGTTAGATGAATGAATGATTACACGATGAGTGATTAAAGCTGGAGCCACACCCATACCTCCTTTGACTTTTAAGAAATGGTTAGGGCTACGTTAGAAAAGTTTGCTCCATTGACTCACAGGGATAACCCAGAATCAGCCGAGCACTTATAACTGACAGCAGTGTTTGTCCTTTTCCTCTGCTCCACTGTCAACTCCTTGAGAGCGGGGACCTGCGTCCGGTTCACCACTACACTCCTGCTACCTCACACTATGCAAGAACAAAGTACCTATTTCATCTCTTGAATATGATTAAAATATGAAAGGTGAGTCGCGGTTAGCCAGGTGAGGAAAGGAAAGAAGATGGTTCCCAGCAGAGGGAGGAGCACGGCGGAGGCCTCTGTCCTTGATACAAGGATCAGCCTGAAGAAGCGAGTGTGGCTGGGATGGAGCGAGAAGGCAGGGTGGGGACCATGTGTGGCTGTAGAGGTGGGGGGCAGGGGTCTGCCACACTGGATTTTACAGGTTTCTGGACGTGACAGGGAAAATAAAAAAGTTTTATCTTTAACCCAAGGGTAATGGGGATCATATCTGTCACATCACAAATCTCTGGCTGCCGTGGGTGTCGGGAGACTGTTAGGCAGCCGCTCTGACCCAGACTAGAGAGTTGGGGGTTGGACTGAGAGTCTCTAGAGAGTAAGTGGAGACAGATCTCTTTCATTGCCAGCACCCAGCATGCCTGGCACCTATTCGTTTCTCAACAAACGTTTGTTTAAGAGTGGTTGGATGGAGGGACAAAGTGGTGCAGGAGGTTGCTAGGGGTTGAAATGAACAGGACATGGTGAAGGACTGGCTACTGAGAGAGAAAGGGAGAAATGCCAGGCCAGCTCCTAGGTTTCTGGTTTTGTGTTACAACCTGGATGGAGGAGAATTGCCATTTCCCGTGACAGGAAGAAGCAGAAGCATCTGTATTTTGTGTGTCTCTGGTTCTCTGTTAAACCAAGAGTCAGCCCAGCCAGTGTTCTCAGTGGTTAGCGCCAACCTATGAACCAGGAGGTCAGGGTTTGATTCCCAGTTGGGGCACATGCCCAGGTTGTGGACTCCATCCCCAGTAGGGGGCGTGCAGGAGGCAGCCGATCAATGATTCTCTCTCATCATTGATGCTTCTATCTCTCTCTTCCTCTCCCTTCTTCTCTAAAGTCTCTTTCTCTCTCTCTCTATATATATTTTAAACAACAGTCAGGGCTTCCATTCCTCCTCCCTCAAGAGGCTCCACTCAAGGCGGCTTCTGCTCACCCTCTCGCTGGTGTCCAGCGCGGGGAGCGGTCTGGAGGCCAGAGCAGGGTAACTCTTGAACCTCAGAAGGCTCCCAAGGGCTTGAAGGGTTTATATTCTCATATATGAGGTCAGTGGACTGCGAGGAAGATTGCGGGTCAAGATAAGATGAGGGGTGAATGGTCGCTCTCACCATGGTCTAAGCAGCCTCAATAACCAGGGGCTTGTTATTGCGAAGCTAGACATTCTGCCCTGCCCTCGTCTCCAAAACCTGGGCCAGTGGCTCTAAATAAAGACGATGAGTTTGTGGGATACATGAGTTTGGTCAGTTATTTTCTTTATGAGTCTAGGCAACTAGTTTTTGAGTGATCTTTCATGGGAAAAAGTATCTTCTCAATCCAGATGTGAGTGAAGGCTCGCCGAGTCACTCCCAATTACACTGCTCAGACCTTTTCAAATGTTCATGTCAGGGATGCCCTGATTTTGTATAAATAAGGTCTATTTTACGTGTAAACTTAGATGAATTAAAAGATGGGTGGAGGGAGGGTGGTCAGATTGGTGACAGATCCAGTGTAAGATTGTGTATCTGTATGTAAATAATTTATCCAAAGAAAAGACGGTTGAAAATGTGTGTGTGTGTGTGTGTGTGTGTGTTGTGTGTGTGTGTGTGTGTGTGTGTGTGTGAGAGAGAGAGAGAGAGAGAGAGAGAGAGAGAGAGAGAGAGAGATGGTGATTTCTGGTTAGTGGGCTTGTGACTGATTTTAACTTTCATCTTTTAATTTGATTAGATACAGGTTAGATTACACATTTACCTAAGAGGTATGAGAAGGAGGAAAAGAAAAATCCCCTCCTAGGAAAGTAAACAACAACTCCTACCATCTCTGTGAACCGGTCTGCACAGGCCATCCGGACCCACTCAGGGGTTGCTGGGCTCTTCACTGTGAAGTCTTCGGCTATGTCTCTCTCTCTGCGTGCGGCGGCCACAGCATCAGTGATGGCAAAGAATACAGATGACCCCAGGAACATTCCGGACTCCCCCAGGCCCTGCAAGAGAGCATATTTGTTTTAGAAGCTTCTACACCGAACTATACGTCGATAGAAGTCAGGGGGAATTATGGGGAAATAGAGATACCCATGTCCTGTCTAAAGGAGGCTGCTGTTCTTCGGTTCTAGCTAACTGCTGCCTTCCAGAAATGCAGCCCAAATGATCAGATGATCCCATTTTTCAAGAGAATTTCGATATTTGTACTTTCATGTAAAATTCCCTGACTTGCCCAGCCAGCGTGGCTCAGTGGTTGAGTGTCGACCTATGAACTGGGAGGTCACGGTTAGATTCTCGGTCAGAGCACATGCCTGGGTTGCAAGCTCAATGCCCTGTGTAGGGTGTGCAGAAGGCAGCCAGTCATCATTGATGTTTCTATCTCTCTCTCTCCCTTCCTCTCTGAAATCAAGAAAAATACATTAAAAATAAATAAATAAAATTTCATGACTTTAAAAAGCACTGTGTAGGACAAGGAAAACACATCTGCAGGCTAGATTTGGCCAATGGCCCCATTTGCAACCCCTGAGCTAGAGAAACGGAATCTGAGTCCCTTTCCCTTTATCAGTGAGATGCAGGCGATGACACGTACCTTTCAGGGTGTGGTGGCATTCAGGTAGCACAAAAACACAGCACCTGGTACCTAGTAGGTCCCTGCTGTTAGTACACTTCCTGGCACACACGCAACCCATCACTGCCCTGCAGGTCTGCCTGTGCGGGGCTGGCCACAACCACAGGAACCAAGGGTCCTGCTTGTCCTGAGAGCTGCTCTCTGTGGGCTCTGAGCATCCTTTTGCCTTTCCCCCTCAGAGTGATTTCCAGCCCAAAGAGACTCCAAAGGCCTGTTGATGTTGATTGGCCTTCCTTTCAAAATTGCCCCTCCCCTGTGCCGTTC